CCAAGTACTCGCTATATCTATCTAATTCATTTTAAAGATTGTGTGGCAAGAACTATCTCAGACACTGTCGAGTGCATTGAAAGTATCATCGAATGAGATCATAGGTCAATGTCACTCATACGAAGAATTACCTCGCTACCTTCCCATTTATTTTATGCTCTGAGGCATATCTTCGGGGGGAGCGTGTTTTATATTCGTAATTATCTCTTGTCTTTTATTATCCTTTGCATTCCATTCCATTCATTATCTATCCCTCGAAATGATCTGCTTTGTCAACAATCGTCCAAAAAGGGGGAGATTGTTGGTGCAATATCTGCCTACCTTTGTTTTGGAGATTGTTGACAGAAACATGTATGGACTAATTTGTTTGCTAGTGCATACAGAGAGAAATAGTCCATACATAAACCAAAGAGAATGTTGTCTCCGGTGCCAAGTTTGAGGAACTTCACCGAAGTATATCTGTGTTGCAGAGAAGAAAGAGCTACATCTGATGAAGACATGTAGACGAGAATATTTATGTGCAGGAATTAACCCCTTGAACGTTTATTGTTGAAGCGAAGCACTTCTTCGGTATCGTCGTCCAAAGAAATTGACGGCAGCAAACGGAAGTCGAAGTCAAATTGAAGACGTAGTACTCTTTTCATCTTTCTTCTTCTGTTCAATTGAGTCATAGGACCTCCGTACTATTAAGAGGGGTATAGGTTTTCGAAGCTTAGATCCGATATGATGCTTAGCCCAAAACCTATGAAAGATGCGAGAGAAATCTCTTTATGCTCCGAATGATTACCTGGCAGCAATAGATGTTGGTCTTGGTGCTGTAGGAGATATCTTTCGGATTGAGGAATTAGCATTACTTGCTCCGCAAGAAGTGTTACCATTGTGCTCAAATTTCCGACCATTGGACTTGTGTCGTTCAGTCAACGGCTGCTCCTCGTGTCCAAAAAATGTCATTTCCCATCAAGAAAGGTTGCGGCAATAAATAGCCACCCCGCTTCAACATTGTCCATTGGCTGCTCCGCTTGAGATTTCCAAGAAGATTGATTTGAGCAACCCCTCTCCGAGTGATTTGAGCTTAAGATCCACCAAGAGAAGAAAAAAAATCAAGAGCCCAAACTTAGACGGTGGTTTAGCATCACAGTAGTTTTGAGTTAGAGTTCTTGTACCTATCACTCTTGAGAGTCGCGCACTCTCTAGACTAATAGGGTTTTGGCTCGAGTGTTGAAGAGGTGTTGTCTTCACCGAGCTAGATCTTCAGCAACCAAGAGTAATTGTGGTTCGTGAAGGTCGGCCGAAGGTCCGGAGATCGCCGAAAAGTATCTACCACGAGTGAAATCAACCAGGGTTTGATAATGTAACACCCCGGACACACCCGCCGGTGGTCGTTACTCCTGGCGGGATCTAGACTGGCGCCACAGATCAATACTAGTCTTTTCTGCGCACCTTGTCCTCACTCATGCGCACCCGGAAGCAACTTCCCGATCGGTCACCCATCCGGACACTACTCCAAGCTGAGCACGCTTAACTTTGGAGTTCTGTCCGAATGGGCTCCCGAAAAAAAGGAATTCCTTATTGATATGAGTAGTCTATCATTCCATTAAGCCAGGCTATCACATACACCCCCACTCAAAGGAACCGACGTCCTCGTCGGGCCACAGGAACGTTCCTTCTTGGCACATATGTCTGTGCATCCAGTCCGGTACATGTGCCATGCTGGGTGCCACGACGGGTCACAAACGTCATGAACAACATGACCGCGCACCTGTCCGCAACCATCCGTGTAACCACGAGGGTCGGCTCTGATACCAACTTGTAACACCCCGGACACACCCGCCGGTGGTCGTTACTCCTGGCGGGATCTAGACTGGCCCCACAGATCGATACTAGTCTTTTCTGCGCACATTGTCCTCACTCATGCGCACCCGAGAGAAACTTCCCGATCGGTCACCCATTCTGACACTACTCCAAGCTGAGCACGCTTAATTTTGGAATTCTGTCCGAATGGGCTCCCGGAAAAGAAGGAATTCCTTATTGATATGAGTAGTCTATTATCCCTATTAAGTCAGGCTATCACAGATAAGCTCTGTGTTGAAGGAGAATAAGGTGAAGAGAGTTTATCTTCCGTGTTAAGTCACAGCCCCTCCAACCAGACGTAGCCCTTTGGCAGAAGGGTGAATTGGTCTACCAAATCTCTCGGTTGCCATCGAGCACCACTGCTTCTATTTACTTCACTTCAATACTTTCAGCAATTTTCATTCTTTCTTTAACGATAGTTTATCTGATCATTCATACTCCGTTGCATATCATTTTCTCTTAATTCTTCTGTCATTTCCTTCAGTTATTATTCGTTGCTCGTATTGTTGCACCCTCTTCACTCTATTTTGCTGTCATAGTTCTCATCCTCGTCTGTGTTGTGATCATTTACCTCATTACAGTTATTTCTCTCAGTTATCCATCGTAGTTCATCTCTAGCTCTCTGTCATGTTAGTATATCTGTTGGCATACTGCTTTGCCATCATTATCATCAAGCCTATTTTATACTATGCTCGAACCATTATTGCATCTTACCTCGAAGATTTTGTTCCTCAATAATATGCTTGTTTGAGTTCATATCTACCGAACCTTATCTTCGCTGCTGTGTTCAAAACTTTCGAAAGAAATTTTGAATCTCACATTCACCCCCCCCCCCCTCTGATTGATATACTCACGGTCCTAACACACACCTTGATTTTGCTGCAACG